TATGTTATGTTTTGCAGCCTTTTTTAATTACTTAAAATCATAAGAAAACAACTTGCAAGACTTGTATATTACTTGAGCTAAAATTCGGGAATGATGAAATTATTTGAACTTGTAAATATGAAAACACACATAATGAACATGGCCTAAGGTCCACGAGCAAATGACAAATAAACATTTATAAACTCATCAGGCTACAACATGGTTCGTTAGAGTAATCTTATGCAAAAATTTCTGTTGAGGAAAGCTATTAAGTCTCACCAACTCTGACGTAACGAACAAAAGATATCAGAGTGAAGAGAAATTGAACCTCTTTTATTCGTTCACCATTGATGATGATTGATGAGCTCGATCTGAATTTTGCCAAGAGCATAAGATTTTCATTTAACTTTTTTGCTCAGAGACCCGATATCTTATGATTCCTCGTTTTCCAAGCTGCATTTCTTCTGCACCAAGAGCAAGTGAAAGTCGTTGGCTTTTTCCTCTAACCCGACATCTCGAAAAGCATCCAAGATCCTGGAGCAAGCAGAAGCATCAAACTCTGTCGTTTTGGACTCTTTCCACTGATCGATAACTTCCCCGGCTTCTCTCAACTGACCAAGCATTAGATAAGATGAAATAACACAAATGTAGCTTCTGCTGCTCAATTTCTGGTTAGTGTTTCTCAGAGACTTCCAAATCTGATCTATCATATCCTTGTTCCCTAGTCCTGTGTGCAGAATCATAAGGAAGTCATATGTGACCCATTCTCTTTGCGAAATAGAGGAATTCTCAGCTTCTACGGGTGAAGTGGACTCTGCGTTAGTTAGTCTACTGCTCTTTACGTAGATGCTAGTAAGATCGGTATACCGAGCCCAACCCTCGTTGGAACTAGCATCATGCCTCATCTCTTCAATAATCTTTCCGAGCTCATCGATGTCAAAAGTTGCAGCACATGAACTTAGCCACAGGTTGTAAGTAAAAATATCCAGAGAAACCTTTTTGCGCTTTAGCATTTTGATAACCTCGGGTACTTTCTCAACTTGCCCAACTGACATGTATAGAGTCATCATCTCGTTGTATGTGATGGCACCGAAACTAAGATTATCAGCCTCTATGATTCTATCGAACAAGGCCTCCGCTCGTTCGGTTTGTTTGGAGCCAGCATACGCATGAAGCAGAGAAGTATAGGTCTCAGGAGTCTTTGAAGCTAGATGCAGACCCTCAAAGTAACGTTCAGCTGCATCGATCCCGAAAACTTTTGATATCAAATCAATGCGAGACG